GTTTCGCCATGGGCGATTGTAAACTGTCATGGCGCTGTTTCTCTTAGTATTTGCTGGGATGCCATGGTAAACAGGGATTAAACAGGGTATAATGAGCCTTGGGTGTAACCTGGGGTCGCTTTTCCTCGCCATCTTGGTTCTAGCTGGTCTTGGCCAGCTTCTCCACTAGCTTTTGTTTTATCAGAGACTTTGGTTCTTGCTCATGGAAAGCCTTCCCCTGTCTTTGTCATGCTACGTTTAATTTTTTGAGGAATCGCCAAAGAGGCCACATGTGTTTTTTTTTGAGACAAGAGTCTCGGGCTTTGTTGCCCAGGTAGCGTGAGTGCGTGGTGGCGTCAGCTTGATCACAGCAAACCTCCAAACTCCTAGGGCTCCAAGTGATCCTTCCTTGCCTCAGCTCCCCAGTAGCTGGGACTACAGCATTTGCGCCAACATGCCCAAGCTTAAATTTTTCTATATATATTAGTTGGCCAATTAAGTTTTTCTATTTATAGTAGAGAACAGGGGCCGTCGTCACTCATTGCCTCAGGCTGGCTTTGCGAATCCTGATCCTTGAGCGATCCTCCCGCCTCAGCCTGCCCAAATGGTAGGTTCAGCGTGAGTCACCGCGCCCGGGCCAAGAGGCCACATCTTTCTTGAACATGTCTCACCAAACAACCACATGAGGTTGCTTCTTCATTTCTTGACTGTTCCTCACCAAAACACTTTTGCCTTTACTATTGTTGTTTTTTTTGAGTCTTACGCCATCCGCGGTTGTGGTGTGCAGGGTGCCTGTATTGAGGCTTTTGATGGGAACATTTCCCTACTGCCTATATGTATTTGGAGCCATTCTTTTTCATTTTTTACGGTTGGCCATCATGTATCAATTCTTCTTTTGGAGAAAATTGTCTGATTCAGGTTCCGGGCTGCTATCTTTTTACAAAATTGGATTATTTGTCTTTTTTTATTGTTGAATGGGTGTAAAGAGATCTTTATGTAATTCTGGGACAACTACGGACCCTTATCGATATTATGATTTGCAATATTTTTCCCCCACTCTTGGTGGGACCACGTTTTACTTTTCTGGATAGGTTGTCCTTTGATAGATAAAAAGTTTTTAATTTTTTTTTTTTTTTTTTTTTTTTGAGACACAGTGCTCAACTTTGTTCCCAGGCTAGAGTTGAGTGACGTGGCGTCAGCCTGGCTCACAGCAAAACTCAATCTTTCCGGGGCTTCAGCGGCATCCTACTGCTAGCCTTCCCGAATAGCTTGCGGGACTTACAAAGGGCAATGCGGCACATGCCAGGCTATTTTTTGTAATTATTATTTTTTAGTGGTCATTACAATTTATTTCCTATTCTTGGTAGGACGGGGTTCTCATCAGGCTTGGTTTTTTTGACTTCCTGACCTTGAGGCAATCCGGGCCCGCCTCGGCCCTCCATGAGTTGGCTACGGACTTACAGGCGTGAGCCACCACGCCCGGGCCTTAATTTTGATTGAAGTTCCTATTATCTAATTTTTTTTTTACTTGGTTGGAATGCGTTTAGGATTTATTATTATTATTTTTTTGCGAGGACAGGAGTCTCACTTTTGTTGCAGGGCTAGAGTGAGTTGCCATGGGCATCCAGCCAGCTCAAGCCGACCTTCAAACTCCTGGCGCCCAAGCAATCCTCTGCCTCAGCGTCCCGAGTAGCTGCGGACTACACAGGGGATGGTTAGGCACCGCATGCCTGGCTAATTTTTTTATTTATATTGTTGGCCAACATTTAATTTCTTTCTTATTTTATAGTTAGGAGGCCGGGGGTCTCGCTCTTGCTCAGGCTGGTTCGAAAAACTCCTGAACTCGAGCAATCCGCCGCCTCTGCCTTTCCAGAGTGCTAGGATTACAAGGCGTGGGCCACCGCGGTCTTGCCTCTCCCTGTATTTTACAAGCAAAGTTAAAAAGCCAATTTTGCTGTCCAGAATACTAACAGAACCCACGGCTGTAGGGCAGCCCTTCGCTGCATATATGTTCATGCTTCACCGACGGGCAGAATGGCACCACCGGACAGGGTTGAACCTATTATCCACCGTAGGTCAAAAGCTGGACTTGTCATTAGTCATAGGATGGGAAGCATTGTCCCGGTTTAACGCCACTCAAATGGCATCATGAGATCTGGAGACTATGAGTGATTATTGGCAAAAGGAAACAGAGATGAGTGAAGCCTCGAAATGGATTCATGTTTGAGGCGGGTCCCACACGGCCACCCATGGACTCTTGTCAAATTGCTGCCACCCCCAGTGAAAGCCCCCACACAGCCTGCCTTCCGTCCCAGGGGGAAAAATCCCCCCTGCCCTAGCGCTGTTCCCAGTCTAGACACCTGTCATTCTGTGGTTCTTAGCTTACTTCTGCCTGGAAGTAAGTGCTCAATTTTGTTTTTTTTATTGGCACCTTTGGGGAAAAAAAAATCTTAAGAGTATGAGAAGAGTCAGCTGGAACATCAACTTAGGGGCACCCCTTGGGGGGCAACTACGAGGATGCCATGGCTTAGACGCCAAGGAACACTTGAGACAGAAGGCAGGACGAGGTCCCCAGAGACAGCACGGGGTTGAGCCCCAGGACACGGGGACCTACAGAGCAGGGGGTGCGGGTTCTGGCCACTGGCTACATCCCTTTGGGCCTCTCCTCGCTTCTGATTCTTTCCTTTCATTCTTCCTGACAAGGATCGCTGGAGGAATCTGGGAGAAGAAACCAAGGGGTACCCCGCCATGAAGGTCAAGTGCAGAGTAGATTTTTTTTTTTTTTTTTTTTTAACAGAGTCTCGCTTTGTTGCCCAGGCTAGAGTGAGTGCCGTGGCGTCAGCCTAGCTCACAGCAACCTCAAACTCCTGGGCTCAAGCAATCCTGCCTCAGCCTCCCGAGTAGCTGGGACTATAGGCATGCGCCACCATGCCCGGCTAATTTTTTATATACATATCAGTTGGCCAATGAATTTCTTTCTATTTATAGTAGAGACGGGGTCTCGCTCTTGCTCAGGCTGGTTTTGAACTCCTGACCTTGAGCAATCCGCCCGCCTCGGCCTCCCAGAGAGCTAGGATTACAGGCGTGAGCCACCACGCTCGGCCCAGAGTAGATTTTAAAACAGAACTTACAGCGACAACGACAAGAACGAGCTGAGGAGGGAAGAAAGGTGAGAATGCAGAACTGCACGAGGTCATTGAGTCATTTGCGGGTCAGATTGTAGTCACAGGGGAAGCCAGGGCAGTGACCTTTCAAAGCCTCAGTTTACCCAACTGAAAAATGGGAAGGATAGTTGGAAAGCACTGTCCAATGTAGGGTGCCAGCAGGAAATGTCAACATTAGTTGCACTTAGGGGTGATGTAATTGAAGGGGAATCAGGACAGGCCACCCCAAAATATGCCATTTTGGCATAAGGATTATGTTGAGCTGAAGGCACCTGAAAAGCAATGGATTTGAGAAGAGTTCTCTGCCTTCCCCTTCTCCGGCTAAAAACAGGGCACAGTTCCTCTTTGTGACGTTTCCTTCTCTCAGATACCAGGAAAGGGAGAGTGACTCTTCATGAGACATGCAGAGTCAGCATTGAGCTGAGTCCTCGTAAACAGACCTTGCGGAAATAACTTTTATCTTCCATTAGTTCCTCCATAGTTCCTTCCCCATAATTTGTCTTCCCTCGAAGCCCCAAGCCCACCCTTTTCTTTCCTGTGTTAAAATGGTATATAAGCCCCTGAGTCTAACTGTTTCTTGGAGTTTCACTTATTTTCTATGAATTGCCATGCACATAAAATATTAATAAAAATGATATGCCTTTTTCTCTTGTAAATCTGTCTTTTGCCAGTTTAATTTGCAGGCCCCTGGGGACTGGACTTAAGAGGGTGGAGAGAAAGATCCTCTGACACCATGCATCCTACAGTATGAGTGGACAACCCAGAGGAGCACGTTCTGCATTTTGCCAAGGAGTGCTCCCTGACACTCGATTGAATGCTTGGGCATCATAGGAGTTTGCCAAGGCTGCTTTTGTGGTGACCATCCACCAAAATTGCCTAGTAGATAAATACCTGTTGACTGAATGGCCGACAGACATGCTAACAAGAAGCAGCTGGGAACGGCTTTCTTGTAACAAATTGTAGTCACAGACTCAGAACAGAAAAGTGAGCAGGGAACAGTCAGATGTTGACGTGGGACTCATGGAGAGGAAAAAATATGTTTCCTGAGAAGGGTCAGAGGTACCAAGAAAGAGACACTATTATTAGTTTCTCTCATTTTTCTTAAAAAAAAGAAGAAGAAGAAGAAGAAGAAGAAAAGGAAACTACTGAATGGAAAGGGACTTACACAGTTGTTGGCTGATTTGAAGAGAACCAATCACCCACCCTTTAGAAAGGATGTTTTGTCATCTGAAAAATATTCCAAGGCAGGAATTTTGTGAAGCGAACTGAGATTACAAAAGCTCTCCACTATCATTCCAAAAAGACACATTCATAAATTTTATTATTATTATTTTTACCACAATGGCTCAAGAGATATGTGAATTGCAGGTTCCTAGAAAAAGTGTGTTACTAAAAGGGAGAACTCATGACACACCTTAAAAAAACAATTGGGCACAAAAAAATGGAAGCCTCTGATTTAATTTTGCAATTGCCCCATGCCAGGCAGGACAAGAAACAAACACTGTTACCTCTTAAATGAGAAATACAATGGTCACGGTTACTCAAGGTGCTATCTTAGTATGGCTAACAAGGCACTGCGACGCCAGCCAAGTAAAACACTGAGTTGATCTGGGGTGTGGGCAGAAGAATGCGGGCTTGCCCGTGGCGGGGACATGCTGGAATGATCCTTCCACCGTGGAGAGCAGAGCCAGGTGGCAGGGTTGCTGAGCGGAGCTGGGAAGTCACGTGACCTGCACACACAGGTTTCTTGGCACTTAAACTTGGGGCTCCTGAAACGGCCAGGTGGCCGGGAATTCCCCTGGGGAGGTGGTGAGATGGTATCACTGTCACTTGTTGGGTTAAAAAAGGCCCTTGGAGTTCACCCAGGATCAGCCTAGAAGAGGCGGGTGGGGACACTCAGACAGTGGAGACCAGCAAGAACGCCAGATCGTCCTCTAGTACCGATCAGAGAGGAGGAGGAAGAGCAAAGGGGGAAGCACGGCGCAGTGCGGCAGGTAGGAGAGGAAGAAGTAGGAGAGGAAGAACTGGGCGCTGAATCTAGCGTTCTTTCGTTCTCCACCGGCAGAACTTTCCCCACTGGCGAAAGTTTCCGCCAAGCCCAGGGCAGATGAAGGAATCCCAGGCTGACTGCCAACCAGGGGAGGTAAGAGACGCAGGAGGAGTTCAGAAGTTCAGGAAAATAAAAGCGGATTATCATTTAAGGGTTCTGTGAACCAGAGAAAAGGGGAAATGACAGGAGGACCTGGGAGTGGCTGGGGGCAGGGGCGGGGAGGGAAGGTTCCTACACTCTGGGAGGCCGAGGCGGCGATTGCTCGAGTCAGGAGTTGGAGACCAGCCTGAGCAAGAGTGAGACCCATCTCTACTAAAAAAAAAAATAGAAATTAATTGCAAATAAAAAAAAAAATATATATATATATATTAGCCGGGCATGGTGGCGCATTGCCTCTGTAGTCCCAGCTACTCGGGGAGGCGAGGCAGGAGGATTGCTTGAGCCAGAGTTTGAGGTTGCTGTGAGCAGGCTGACGCCATGGCACTCACCTAGCCGGCAACACAGTGAGACTCTGTCTC